ATGCCGGGATATATGGTCAGTGGATATGGACATGGCAGCCAACATCTGATACAAAATAAATCTGTGTCATCTTAGAGAACGATTTGTCTGTTTCAACATTTTTCTATCGGTATTTGAAAAAGATGCATGCGAGTTATGATCATAGACCGGAAGTCAATGGCTTTGCTTAACAAGCAGCAAGTCTAAAACACGGAGGTGGAAAAGGACCTCTACATGCACCAGACGAAAATATTATCTTTCTTTATCCTGTTTTAGGTTCATGGGGTTTTTCACCAAATAGGGATAATTGGATAAAATTTCAGAATTGGTTCAGGGAAGCTCATAATAATTAAACATTTCTGCCGCTAGTTCCTGGCATTTTACCATCTCAATGGTATAAAAAAGAGTTGAAGGCTGGAACGCATGAACATATTTTGACTATGTGGCAAATTTATTACGTATACAGTAAAAACGAGAGAACTCTTTACCAAAATTTTCCTAATAAAACGGGGATGACTATCAACTGGAGAGAAAATGGACTACATTTTAGCAAGGCAGTGAAAGTCGCAGGTCCTTTAGTAGAGAGCTGGGATGAAAGGCTAGAAAACTTACCAGAGGAACCAGTTCATCTAGATGTGAATGGAACTGTAGTTAAATATTGAATGCAGTCTTAGTTCAAATATTATTATGCAACAGGTTGAACATTTGGTATTTCAGAAATCGTGAATCATAATTGAGTATAGGCTTTTTAAAAAGCTGGCATGACCTTAAAGTTTGCTCTCAGATAACTGAAGCATTTGATAATGTGACTGTTTTCAGTCATTCAATATAGAATGCCATAATTTGATAGATTCTAATAAAAGTTAACAAAAGATTTATGTGATTTTATTCTGAGACTTACATAGATTGTTGGTTGAAATAAAGAAACACAAATAGAATATTGATATTTAATAAATAAGTATGTGTAGCTAAATTTTTTCCTCGATTTATTTTTAAACACAATTTAAAAACCTAAAATAAAAACCTGCAAAATTGATGAAACATGTCAATACAGTTAAGATTGAAATATCTCAAATTTGAAAAATTGTGGCTAGAAAAAAGGTAAAAGATCCGTAAGTCCCTGTTAAATAAACACAGAAAACAGCTTACAGTTCCTTCATTGGGGTGTCATATTAATAAACTCTTTACAGAAAAATACAAATTTAAAGACAATTATAAAAAAAAATCGATATCCTTTAACTGATTACAGTTTATATAAGAAATGACCTAATATGCATTGTTTAAGATAAACATGATAAAGAATTGAGTGAGTTTTTTTTCAACAATTTATACGAAATGGAAGTGTTAATGATGTATGGCTGCTTAACGTCAAGTGGCAAATTAATATGCATATTCAGGACGAGAACATGCTACTGTAATATGAAAATTCACTGTGTTTTGTTCTAGACCGACACGCGGAGCTGGATTTTTAACATGCTACTTCGTAATTTTAGGTAAAAGTCCACAGGAAGACATGTCACCTTACCTGGAAACATTATTCTTACTACTAGCCGACCAGTCTTAATTTGCTCTTACTCCTTTTTGCCGCGTGCTTAGCGAAGAAACAAATAATACCAATTTCAAAGTCTTTGGCCTCCCGAACTCGAGGCGAACGCGCTACCACGAGACCACCTTATCGGTTTCGAAACGGAAGTGAGTGACGATCATATTTCTGTATAAATTGTAAAAAAAGACCCATCCAATTCTTATATTTACATATCTTGGCAATGCGATATACATGTACTAGTATAAGAATAAGGAGATGCGGTATGGTTGCCGATGAGACAACTATTCACCGAAGTTCAAATGAAGTGGATGCAAGCAATTATAGGCAACCGTAAGGACCTCAACAATGAGAAAAACCCATACTGTATAGTCGGCTTTAAAAGACCCCGACATGAAAAATATGAAACAATTCAACTGAGAAAACTAACGAACTTATTATAGTTTTTAACATTCGGACTCTCAATGTTTACCGATTCAATGTTAATAGCATATACAGAAGTTAAACTCATTTTAAAGTTTTTTTCTTCATTTCTTAAAGACCAGGAATGACATTTGACCTATGAAAAGAACACTGGGGGAACAATATAAACGGTTTGTTCACCCTTTTTCCAACCTGTGCCCACTCCACCCAGCCCAAGAGCGGATGGTTTTAATGTGTGCCCGGGCTACGATGAATCAAATTTGATAAGTCATATATCGGTTAATAAAAAAAAAAAAATAGAAAAAAAATGTATAAACTTTACATGGTAACTGTCGAGAGCACAATCTAACGCGCTGTTCATTCTTATCAAATGCTAAAAATCAATGGCCATTAATGGGGTCACACATGTCTCCATGGAAGGTATCTGATCATTTGGGTAAAACTAGACACAACTTCACTTGCTTCGATGGAATAATAAGTTACCGTTAATGAGACAGCAACCAAACACCCTAAGTCAACCAATAAAGGCCATTTAAAACAGTGTAAAGAAATGTTGTGACCGTTCAACTGAAATTTCTCCCATTGAATCACTACTTTTGGCGGAATATGAACATACATATGTGAAAGGGGGTTCAAAGGGAAGTCCTGTCATTTTTATTGTCTGGCCGTTTCAAAATCTAACGGACTATGAATAATTTTATTGTTCGTATCTCAAAATTAAAATAAAGTCACGTCATTAGTTGAATTTCCATTGTTTAGGACGTGTTGGTGTAAACTTTTGAAAAGATTACCCAGAATGCATTAGATTCCGAAACTGAGAATTAACCGACTGGTGCCGCGGAACACCAAATATAGAAACTTGTAATTACCGTAAGTAAATAATTCAGCAATGTTGATTTTTATACAAACTATTTGTGCATTCATATGTTACCGAGTTCTTGGACGGAATAAAGTAATTCGTCAAGTTTAGAGATGTTTATTTTATTCGACATAAATAAATAAACCATTTATAATATAAATATACAGTATATGGTACATAGGTCTGTCTTCTATTTGGTAACATCTCATCAGATCATGACTATATCAAAATATCATGGTTTTCTCTCAAGGTTTTCCAAAAGTGTGGTAAAACTTTGAACTAAATATGACCAATATCAGACAAGACAGCTTGACACATGACTGCCTGCCTGCATAATGAACTAGAATAAGCGTGACTACGAGGCTCTGAATTAGGGGGTGGTGGATAAATTCTGTCTTTTTTTATGTTTTAGGGCATTTTCTATATCTGTAAAAAATAATGCTTATTCTGTAAAATACTCATTTAACTGATTTTACAATATTTTTGTTCTGTAATGATATGATTTCTTTATTCTTTGCATTCTTCATTTCTGTAATCAGTATTTCATTACCCGTTTCTTTTATTTTTCACAGTTATTCTTTATACTTCTGCACCTTATTATTCTCTTTTCTTTAATTTTTTGCTCTCTATTCATTTTTTTGGGAGGCCATTATTCTCTATTCTGTAAACCCCATCCAGACCATCATGCTTGTGCAGTTACGATGCCGTGGATATTAGTAAGGATTGAACATGTAAAATTGGAGAAGTAAATTTAGTATAATATGATTTTAGAAGTCATGTGATATTAATAGAAAGAAAACAGGCTGTATATCTTAGTTGGAGAGACGAAATGCAGACATATGATGAAGTTTCCGGTTGTCATATGTCCACTGTCCTCATTTTCATGGTTCAACAACTGCTTGATAAAACAGTGTTTTTGTCATGCAAGTTTCTCACTTATCATGAGCAATAGAATAACTGTATTTGGTATATGGGTTCCTTGCAACGTCTACATGTCCGTCGGACAGGGTTCATCTGACCACGACTTCATTTCACGGATCATTGATCAAGGTAAACGTTACGTGATTAGGTTCGTTTCTCGGATATTATAAGCAGTAGGTCAACTATATGTTGTGGATGAATTAAATGATTGCAAGGGTAAAATGTCAGTCTGGCAGGTTTTATCTGACCTTGACCTCATTTTCATGGTTCGTTGGCCAATGTAAGGGTTTTGTGGTTTGATCTGTTTTTCAAGTACTTCAAGCAATAGGTCAACTATATTTGGTATATGGAACGATTGTAAGGTGTACATGTCTGTCTAGCAGGAATCATCGGAGCTTGACCTCATTTTCATGGTTCACTGGTCAATGTTCAGTTTTTGTATTTGATCTGTTTTTAATGAACTATGAGCAGTAAATCAACTATATTTGGTTTTGGTATGATTGTAAGGTGCACATGTCTATCTTGTAGGTATAATCTGACCTTGACATAATTTTCACGGTTCATTTGTCAATGTGACATTTTTTTGTTTTGGTCAGTTTATCGATTTACTATAAGCAATTATGGAAATTGGAATAATTGTTAGGTGTACATGTCTGTCTGACAGGGAGTATTTTACCTTTAACTCATTGTCATGGATCTTTAAAAATGGCAAGTTTATGTGATAGTTGTAGTAAAACCTTTACCTTTTAGACTTTCAACATAAAATCAATGGTCAGTAAAGCACGCGAAACATTTCAGCGTGTGCCCTCTTGTTTCTTCTGATGATCTGATGGAAAAAACCAACGGCCTGATTTATGACAGAGCAATAAACGAAAAACAAATACAGCAGGCATCAACCATCGACTAACACTGAATTACAGGCTTCATACCTAGGACAGTGGTGAAACAATGCAACATTTAAGAAAAATGTAAATGAATGTTTGAAATTATGGCTTGACTAATTATATTGTCACGATTCACACAACTAATAAAAAGGCAAAGGACATACAGTACTCGTAGTTATTACAACAAATCATACTCTCCTTGACTAAAATATCAATCATTTTTCATAATATATGTGCGCCAAGGTGCAGAAGAGTCAGGTCTTGGTGATTAATGTGGTAAGTCCTGCTGTGTTTTATTTTGTTGATTTTATGTTTCACAGGCAGAAAAAAATAGTATATATATCATAGTATATTCTTTAATACTTGTCACTGAACATTCATATTCGTTCATCATCGTCATCATCGTAAGACTGTACAATTATTTGACTATAAATGTCAATACTAAAATTGAGAATGGAAATGGGGAATATGTCAAAGAGACAACAACCCGACCAAAGAGCAGATAACAGCCGAAGGCCACCAATGGGTCTTCAACGCAGCGAGAAAATCCCGCACCCGGAGGTGGTCCGCAGCTGGCCCCTAAATAAAATTGTGTACTGGTTCACACTAAACTCCAAAAACATATAAAGGAACTAATATTAAAAAAACATACAAGACTAACAAAGGTCAGAGGCTCCTGACTTGGGACAGGCGCAAAAAAATGCGGCGGGGTAAAACATGTTTGTTGAGATCTCAACCCTCCCCCTATACCTCTAGCCAATGTAGAATAAAGCAACAATTAGCAATACGCACAGTAAAACTCAATTTAAAAGAAGTCCGAGTCCGATGTCAGAATAGGTAACAGAAGAAACTAAGCAAAATGACAATGATACATAAATTAACAAAGGACTACTAGCAGTTACTGACATGCCAGCTCCAGACCTCAATTAAACTGATTGAAAGATTATGTCTTCATCATATGAAAATCAGTTACAATTCCTCCCGTTAAGGGTTTAGCATCATACCATCATAAAATATATGAGAAGAACATAACCCGTATCATGCCAACAACTGGTTTTAGAATAAATGTGTTTATTGCCGATGCAAAGACCCTATGAATGAATCAATATTAATACCAAAATATGCAATCCTTAATGACCTGACAACAGTATCGTAACTATAACCCTTCCGAATAAGTCTGTTTAAAGGTTTGGTTAGCTTTTGAGGTGAATGCCGACGTTTTTGTGCTTTGTAAAGAATATTACCATAAAATATTGGATGTGAAATACCTGAATGTATAAGATGTCTGCATGTTGATTTATATTTACGAATGATGTCCTTGTACCGATGATAAAATTTAGTAAATATTTGACTAGCTTGTGATATCGAAAACCCTGGTGTGATAATTTTTCAGTAATACAGAGATTTCTTTCGTTGAAATCAAATACGTTGTTACATACACGAGCGAATCGAACAAGTTGAGATATATAAACACCATAAGATGGTGACAAGGGAACGTCACCATCTAAAAATGAATAATTAACAATAGGAAATGAAAAATCATCTCTTTTATCATAAATTTTGGTATTAAGCTTCCCGTTAAAGATATAGATATCAAGATCCTGGAAAGGGCAGTGCTCATTGTTAGTATTAGCTTTATTCAAAGTCAGTTCGGCAGGATAAATCTCTTTAGTGTACACACTGAAGTCGTCATTATTGAGAGCCAATATATCATCTAAATATCTAAAAGTGTTATTAAATTTTTGAATCAGATGTTGTTTCGATGGATCTTTGCTGATTTTAGTCATAAATTGTAACTCATAACAATACAGAAACAGGTTGATGTTTGATGAAAAATGGCTATAAAACAGATTATTAAAGTGCATGACATGAGTTGTCATTTTTTGAAGGCGAAACATATTATCTAATATCAGTCTAACGTTGAATTTCGAAATATTCCATAGTTTCAGATTTCGATTTAAGATCTATCACAGTCACTGAAAATTCTGTGTCTCCAAAGTTAAATACAGCTTCTAGATCCCTGCTTTGCCCTTCTTCGTTTGAAATACAAATGTCTAACACCCCAAGTAATGTACATTCATCTGTGTCTGTATACATAACATTCTCTTTGTCCGTCCTGTACACTGAAAGAACGCAGCCGTTCTTACTGTCTGTTGAATACTCTTTTTTAATTGTATGTCCTAATGGAATAGATGTGTTGATTTCCATGAATGGATCAAATATAGCGATGCAACATGTCTTTTCTTCTGAAATATACATTCTTTTTACGTCATGAATATTTTCATCAAAAGGCATCTCAGCCTTTATACCATAAGTATATCGTGCTATTCGCGATGATATGAAGTCGGATTTATAACCAAATAAAACTGCACCTTTCAGAACGATAAGACCGGAATCCTCTTGCAAAATAATGTTAATGCCTGGAAAAGCAGTTTTCAGGGCATTTTGTACCATCTTACATTCTGCAAAACCACCAACAAGCAGAATGCTTGAAACGTTGACAACGGTACCCTGTTGTAGAACAGACTGTATAAGAGTTATAACATTATCACACGTTGTCTTGAAAAGCGATTTAACGAATAATGGCCCAATTCGCATTTTGTCTTTACATATTTCAATGTTACATGCCAATGAAGATGAACTGACGACATTTTTAATATTTTCACCCAAATTTGACTGGCAGAGATCGTCAAGAGTTGCATATGGAATTGTTAAGTTTACTTTTCTGGTTTGGGTTGGTTGAAATGTTCGTTTAACGTTCTCTATACTTCTAAGCAGATACAAGTAAGATTCTGGACTCTCTGATTTCAGACTGTTGAGAAGTGGTCTTCCGAATATGCGAACGAAAAGTTGGATAAATGCATCATCAACCGAGGTCCCGCCACAACCATTCCCGGAGGCTTTTGTCACTTCTTTCAATGTGCCGTTCGGAATTTTTTCATGCACTGTTACATCTATTGTGCCACCTAGAAAATGATACGTAACAAGTATGCTATACACGTGGGTCAGTAGTATAAAGAATATAAAGTATAAAGAGTCATTTTTAAACAATATATAGCTACCACATTAGATTTAACAATTTGTGATACATATGTACAGAAAAATGTTTAAATGATTTTTTATATAATTATTTTTAGACACTCAGATGAATAATTTTGATTTCTGACAAATACTATTTTTAATCTATGGAATAAATATACTGAACTGCCAAAAGACCTGAATGCTTTTGCTAGATATTACAGTTGTGGTTCTTAAAATTAAATCTTCTCTCATGTAAGTCATATTTTTATTGTGTATATTTGTCGTTATATTCTTTTGTTTTTCTGTTGTTTGGACATTAAGGCTAAGTTTCGCTAATTTAACTGATAACGACGGATATGTTCCAATTCGTAACTATAATATCGTCCCTTTGTACCGGATGTGACCTATCGAATAAGACATATCACCGGATTGGTACTAACATGAGCAACACGTCGGGTTCCACATTAGAAGCAGGATCTGCTTACCATTCCGGAGCACCGGAGATCACCCTAGCTTAAGTCGGGGCTTGTGTTGCTCAGTCTTTGGTTTCCATGTTGGTTTGTGTACTATTGTTTGTCTGTTTGTCCTTTTCTTTTTAGGCATTGCGTTGTCAGTTATTTTCGACTTATGAGTTTGAATGTCTCTTTGGTATCTTTCGCCTCCTTTTTTTTTTAAACCTTTCAAAAGGCTTAAGTATGTGTATATTTCAAGTCAGGAGCCTGTTATTAAGTGATTGTCGTTTGTAACTGTATATCATATTTGTTTTTCGTTCATTGTTTTTTTTAACATAAATCCAGCCGTTAGTTTTTCGTTTGACTAGTTTTACATTTTTCATTTGTCGGGGCATTTTATCAGGGTTGGCAAACACCCGAGTACCACGTGTAATGCCCAGCACAGTAAAAAATATGGGGTTTACCGGGTAAAACTGGGCAATACTCGATTATATGAAATACTGGCCTGAAATTTAAAGAGGTTTTAGTGATTAATTACAAATGCAAAACATTAAATATATTTAAAAAAATAAAACATATTATTTTAATTTATAATTTCACTTATTTAAGAATCTTATTATAAAGTGTAAAAATCTGAGAAAGTTCCAGCATCTCTAAGAGAAGTGTACATGAAGACACATTAGACAAATGTAAAAAGCTTTCCTCAATAATCCTCCTAAAAATCTATTAATTCAACATTCAGTTTAAATTTGTCAAACGGTTAACATAAAGCTAAAGTATTCTATTTGATATTTTTAAGATATATAACTATAAAGAATTTACAATTATGCGTAAGGAAAATAATTTTTAACAAATTTCGTTCATTAGTAAAAATGTTTACTAAGCAGTATATATAGATTCCACCACTGCAACAAGTGTTACGACATTTCTCCACTCGAGACAGTTAAATTTTAATAAAATAAAACGCGAAGCTTGCCGACCTTTTTAAATGATTAAGATTCAACTGTTGAGTGGAGAAATATCATAATACACGAGTTATAGTGTTGGAATCTGTTTTTCTAATGATTTTTATAGTTACTTTTTAAAGATCTGCAGAACGTTGTGTTCTTTATATGTGACGTCCATCAGACATGGTCGCCTTTTTTCATGACGTCACAATAGGACCAATCATTTGCCGAGAACAGATATTTCACTAGTGAGGAGAAATACTTTTCTCACACCGATCAAGAAGTGTGAAAATAGCACAAACATTAGAGAAATTTACATCACTAATTAGTCACATTATAACAGAGATTTCTTTATATGACAATAATCAGCCTTTTCATTTCTATAAGAGTCCATAAAATGTCCCCTTAGGGTGTTTATTTAGCTATATGTATCACAATTAAAATTTACACTTCACTTAAACACTGCAATGAAATACATTTTTTTAAAAGATTGGATTACTGAAACAAAACTTGTATTCTGTCTACATAAAATTATTGGAGAAAAGGTTGAAATGGAATTTTTAATCCTATATAAATGACTCTCAATGGATATCTGCATTAAATGTATATATTTAGCTTTACTAGTAATACGGCTTATTTTGGCTATTGGCCTACATTTTGAATTTTATAGGTAAAATAGTAAAATTTTATGTTGGAGTTCTCAGAATTTTTATGAAAACAATGGGATTATGTAGGATTATGTTGTTACAACACTAAACTAATGAACCAAGGTAAATCCAGGTAAAAGAAGAAGAATAGTTTATATTACAATTATTTCTTTAATAATTTCGTAGCACATTTTGTGTATATAATATTCAAAAGCTCAACATGAATTTATAGGCACAGGTGAAAACATTAATAAACATATTCATTGAAACAAAGCACCGAAAAGTACACTAAATAGACATTAAAACAGAGCACTAACACAGTAATACATTACACTAAATTGAACACACAGGAGAATACAAAGTCTTAATCAATGTATAGGAAAAAAGAAGCAGCATCGCCATAATGAACTGGCGTAAGGTCATCATTCTGTAACCTTTTTTTCAGTGTTTGAAGTCTGTCATCTATTTCCCTGTATTTTCTCTTTCTTGGAATACATTTCCCACCGGCTCGGTATTGGATAAATAAGTGTGAGAGCATGGCAAGCTTTTTCTTCTCTCAACAACTTGATCATGCTGAAGATGTTTGGGTGAGGTGCCTTGACTAGCTTCTTCAGTTTACTATGCCAACCTTCTAAATGATTTGGTGTTCTATGACCTTCTGTTTCGTAGTGATTCCATAGGCTTTGATTGTTTTCTTCCCAGTAGCGTGTTGCATAGTCTGTTAAGTTAAGAGTTGTTGTATCAGTATCTGCAGCATCGATGTCCTCCAGTGCGTTAAACCAAACATCTTCGACTGTATTGGCTTGTAAAAGTGACAGAACTGCAGCTCTTCGAACGAGTTGGTGAATGTAGCCTTTTTCACTGTATGCAGTTTGCAAACCATGCCTCTGGGCATTTCTCAAGATACACTGAGTGTCGTGAAAAAAAACACCCTTCAATGTTGATTCCTGGGAAGATTGAAGTGGCAGCGTTTCTGATGGCTATTTCGTAGTCGAGGAACATCGAGGCTGGTTGTAGTATTATGTTGAATTGGTTACATAGATCTTGAAGAATAGTGAGTAGGCTTGTGTATATCTGCTGATCTTTACCAGGTAGGAGACTATAAACTAGTGGAAACATAGTACCATCAACTTTAGCAGGGAACGTGTATAGCTGGTAAAACAGTGTTGGACAAACTTAGAATGTTCCATCACAGTAGATGGTGGCTGCTACTAGATGTATGAGGTTCTCTTGGGTACTGAATACAAGCACTCGACCATTTGTGTTATCATCTGCAGGTAGAAAAGGTTGTCCAGTAGAAGTTTCAGCCCATTCACCATCTACTGTGATATCTGCTACTGATGTTAGTAGTGCAGGTAATGCCTTGTGTCTCTCGTTGTAAGCTGGTCTTAGCATGAGTAGAGGGTTGGTATGTGTTCAACTAGTTGGTGTTACATCATTCCATTCCCAGTCACGGAGCAGTGAGTTCAACTTTACAACGGGATTTCATACGTTCTAGTACATCGTCTACTCTGAGTTGCATTCTGTCTGAGTGGTGATTGGGGTTAGCATTCACTTTGGTTGGAATGTTGTTGTGTGTGTTGATAGTGACAGGGCAGTTACGGGGAGAGCATTTCCAATAACATCTGTCTCCACGTCTGGAATTGGTAGGAATTGTGTACTAAGCTCTGTTTGTTTAATCTATTTGTTGTAAATCCGATATCTAACTGTGGATTAGCCATGATTAACTGAGAATGAACACACATAGTTACGGTTATTTTTTTTTTACGTCTTACCAACTGGTAATTGCTCCCTGGTAACTACTTTTTTGGAATTAGTTCATTATATTTTCAACAATATTAATTACCTTTAAAAAATAAGGTTCATTACAAATACAAATTAATACTTTGATGGCGAATACACTTGCTTTGTGGTAATGCGCTAGATTGCCCTATAATATTAAAACTTATTTTAATAACTTTTAAAAAAAGAAGAAAATATTTATTGTTATTTAGGAATTTAACTTCTACTAGTGAATAAGATTTGTTTTTTTAGACGACGGCTTTCCTGTTTGAAATCGCGCCCTTTATGTACCTAATTTTAATTAAGAAAAAAGTACCTGATGTTTCTTTTGTTTTTTAACTTGGGTTGTGAGTTTTATAATAAATTACATATTGTGTCGCTTGTTTGTGTTTATTTTTATTTTTATCAGCTGCAACTATTGTATAATTCTTAAATACGAATGTAACTTATGTTTTGTCATGATCGCATATTTTTGTAATCTCTATTTAATATATATTAATTATACATGTACCTATATGTTGTAAAACATTTGGATAATAAAGAATGGAATTAAATTGAAGTTGCCCCACAGGAAAATCTTGCTATTTATAATAATGCTTATTTGTTTGGCATAGTTTGTAGTGTTCAGTTAAGACACTGAGTACCTCTTTTAAAAGTGTTCAAAGCTAATCAGAGCTCAAAGTTACTTGGCTTGGCTTAATCTATTAGGGCAATTAATGCACTTATCTATAATAATTAAGTACTTTTAACAGTAGTTTTGATAATATATTCATTTTAAAAATCATAATTTATTCAAATAATGAAATTAATTATTTTTTCGAAGCTAAAGTTGAAAGTGTTGGTTACTATTAAATGCTTTAACTACCTTTCCTTTTAAATATTATTTGTTCAGACTTTTAAATGCTTTTACCATTTTTTCTTTGAAATAATTTTATTTTCCATACTACTAAATGCTTTTACTATCTTTTCTTTCAAGTAATTTTCTTTTCAAGAAATTCCATATTACAAACACTTTATCATAACACTTGATACATGTTTAAAAACAAAAAAACAAAAAAACCATCAATGTTTAACATAAATTTCATATAAATAATTATTGTTATCTAATTTCCACAAGTAAATTTACCTGTGACCTAATTAGACACTAATGACTAAAACAACATATTTTGCAATAACAACATCTATTATTCTTCCCTTAATCTCCAATGTAGGAATAGCCAGAATAGTAAAATACAAAATGTAGGAATAGCCAAAAGACACCTAGTAATAAAAAAAAAAGTAAACTAAAACAATCTTTACTATTTTGTGTAAACATAAGCTCAAAAAACATATTGCCCAGTATTACCCATTTTTAGGAGTATTGCCCAGCACAGGTACTAATTTGGCAACCCTGATTTTTATAGCTTTCTGTGCGGTGTTGGTTTTGCTCATTTTTAAAGGTCGTATGGTGACCTATTATAGCGGCGGAGGACATTTTAGTGCATTGACAGGACATTTTAGCGATAAATTCGGATGTTTTAGCGCCAAAGTATAACCCATTTTAGCGCAAGATGTTTAAAACATTTTAGCGTAAAGTTAAATGAGCAATGCCTATTTTAGCGACCGAAATTATGAATAATAAATTTCAATAGAATCAATAAAGCACAATATAAAAAAAAAGTATGTCAATTACAATACAACACCAAAAGTCTAAAAGGTTATAACTCAAATGTTACAAGTCCGTTCTAGTATGAAATTTATATCATAGAGAACGTACGTAAGAAGCTCTTGATATACCACCTGTGCAATATTGTTCATAAAATTGAAGTAGGAAGTGTTCCTTTACTTTATTATGTCTAGATTGCGGTGCACATTCATCTACACTTCTTATTTTGATAAATGTTGTTGTTTTCAATTTGATGATAGTATCCAGAAAAATGTAAAACGTTATTTCCATGATTAACCAAACTGTAAATGCAAACAACTTAAACATTAAGCCAGCATAAATTACTGTTCGTGGTTTTAGTATGATGAGTATTATTCAACCAGGTAAGTTTGCGCTAAATGGGCTATCGAAAATACAGGTGAACGGATTATTCCTGAACTAAAATGTCCCCTAGCAGTTCAAAATTTTTCGCTAATTGTCTTGCGCCCTATTATATATAGATGCCCACTTCTACGTAAATTTTGGCTCTGGTTGAGGGTTGTCTTATTGGCAACCATACCATAACTTAATTCAATATTAAGTACAAAATATCTGAATATGACATTAGTTAGATATTCAGATATTTTGTACTTAATTTGAATTAAGAAATTGTATGGTTGCCAATCCTTAATTAATTGTTCAACTTTAAAAATATGAGGTTATATATATAACTATAGTTATTACCAGTTGATTTCGTCGGGAAATGCAGTGAAAAGGGACACAAGCTGATATTCACCCAAAAGGAAACCACGAATAAAAATGTTTGCATAAGAATTTGCACCTTTTGTGAGCAATCAAAGAACTTGCTTTGGCTTTTTCAATTTGAGAAATTACATCTTCATTTATTTTGTATCCATATATCTGACCTTCTTAATTTTAAAAACGTTTGGTAAACATCTTTTTTTCGTGTGTATTGCATGTTTTCTAGTGTATACTGAAGTAACAAAATCAATGTGATAGGCAGAAAAGTGAACTGTTACTAAACCGCCAGCTAATATTTGAAATAAATATTTTAAATTCAAAGTTTTACAGATTTCAAAGAATTTCGTTTATTGACTTTATTCCTATATAAATATGTCTCATAAGTGCTTTAATTTTATATTTTAGACATTTCTCGTGACCTCTACCGCCTTACAGTAAAAGGTCAATGAGACAGTTTTAACCAAGAAATAAAACGCATCTAAATCTTCCACGAGGTACGAAATGGCATACATACAAACCTTCCATGAGGTACGAAATGGTATACATACAAATCTTCCATGAGGTACGAAATGGTATACATACAAATCTTCCATGAGGTACGAAATGGCATACATACAAATCTCCCATGAGGTACGAAATGGTATACATATAAATATTCCATGAGGTACGAAATGGTATACATGTAAATATTCCTTGAGGTACGAAATGGTCAAGGTACTAAATGGTCAGGGTACGAAATGGTTTTTGCCAGGGTACGAAATAGGGTGTACGAAATGGTTAGGGTACGAAATGACTATAATTCATACCACCAAGATCCACGACCATATATTTTGATCCAATTTCAGCTATTTCTCTGCAACCAGGTGACGGGAAGGTTTGACAATATATCGAAGCCGCTTCTGGTTCAAGGGCTATGGTTAGCATATCTCGTGATATTCCAGCCTAACAAAAGAAAATATGCGTCCTTTTTAATTCAGCTGTGTATTTTACTAAAATAATGTAATAAAGTTTTCCAGTAAATAAGCCATTTATAGGTTTCATAACGCGTGAGAATTGGATATCGTTTGTTATCATATACTTAGAGCAAATAACTTATAATTTTGACAGTATGATAATAGCATTCAATTTTCTAGTATTCCATATTTTCCTTAACGGTGCTTAGCGGGATGCTATGAAAAAAATATCAACTGCTTCCGGTTATTATCGCATTCCTTTCCGTAACGTTATCGCATGGCATTTCGACGTCGAACGGCAAATTCCGGAAAAAACACCTCAATGATACGTTATCTTACAATAACAGTAGCTTATATTTTCTGCCCGTTTGTTGTATTTTTATCAAATAAGAATTGAGTGGCAGCACTCATCAAATTTAACCGCATTTCCCCCCAAGAAACTATATATCGATAAAAAGCTGAAATTTCATTAATACAATTTTGATTGATAATTCATATTTCAAAATAAATGAGCGCTTTACCGTTTCAGCACTGTTTCTCATAAACTGTTTAGCGGTGTCTGTCCAAATGGCAGGAACAGTAAGTACCCACTTCGTTTTCTCATCGTCAAGTACTATATTCTTTATTTCAACGGTACTGTTAAGATGGTCTTTTAAGGCTTTAATTGATAACGAAAATACGTCTATAGCAGGTAGTGGTTGTCCTCTTACGTCTTCAAGATCCATAGTCATAGTAATATTCTGCAAAATTATTCTTAAAATCATTAATTTGTCAAAACAAAAGCAGAAAGGGAGAAAAAAGTATTTGGAATTTGATGAATATTTTCATAAAATATTGAATGAATTTTTGTTAAGAAGGTATTGAAATAGAAATAGAAATACTTGATTAATCCAATTCATACAATGATATATAGATATCATAAATGGATCAACACTTTTACTAAATTTCATCTCAATTATAAAGATTTATCTTGATGCACTGTAGTAATTTAAGAACTTCATATCCATGGCTTAGCCTTTTCGCTCATCTGATATGTTTCCATAAAACTGATACAATGCTATAAAAAAATTGACCTTAGGAGAATTTGAACATTCTAGCTAGTTCCTTTTCATTTAAAGCTCCTAATATTGCTTCATTTTTATACATCCTTGGCCTTAAGATGTTAAGGTTTGAGCGTGCATGCTGAAGCTTAATCTAGAAAAATGCTTCTGATGCACACAACTTATAAAGTTTTATTTCCATTATAGAGCATTTTTTTTATCAATAACGAAATACGTCAATAAGGCCGAATCAGCAGTCGACTTCTTCATGCTGATCTTCGAAGGATGCATTGTAGTAATTTAAGAACTTCAGATCGATGGCAGGAACTATAACAGAATATTCAAATTCTCATAAGATCAATTGTAAGTATCTGTTCATTATAGTTTTCGTGAGTACAGCCGAAATGGCCATGGGCAATAGGTATATCTTGAAGTGGTATTTGGTACCCAGCTTTAACTGTAGCATTGTTGATAAAACTAGCGAATATAAAAACAGCTAAAAGATCAGAAAAGGAGGTCACATATTTCAACATAAAAAAAATCTTTGTCAAGCCTGGGACTATTGTACTAAGTATCATAGTCCCGAGTCAAAGAAATCATAAACATAGAATATATCTTGTATTTCCATAACACTTGTATTTACCTTGTTATTGTGAAGATTCATCTTAAATCTATGAAAGAAGTAGTAATCTTCTGTATCTCCATCCAATACAATGTCTACATACTGTTCTTCTGCTTCATACCCAAAAACTGATACTTTTCGGTCTTTAGAGAGCAGCAGACACGTGGGGGTCTTTAGGGATGCAACTTCCGCCGTCCCAGAATTCCAAATCTGATTAGATAAGATTTCTACATCCTTCAGCTCAGTTTCTGGTGCACTAACTGAAAATGCATATCCTGAATACGTTGTCCCAAAGTCTATTGCGGCCACATAAACAGTCATCGTTTATCAAATGTGACTTCAAAATCTTTAAAAACAAAATGTGTTGCAGTGCAGAAAAGAGTTTAAAGTCATATGAAACGAGTTTTTGGTGATAATTATGTTAAGGAAATTATTTAACATATGGATGTATATATTGACATTACTTATATGTTTCATAAGAATACGTACTTTTGATTGGATGCCAAAAATCGCGAAGCGTTCCAAAACAATTTTTTTTCACTTAATAAAATGCAGCATTCCTGACTACACGTGCTTCCCTAGATAACGTCACGTCAATGTAAAGGAACACAAAGCAAAAGCTTGATATAACTTGTGATGGTTGTAGCATATAAATGTAATTAAAAGAATTGAAAGCTTCTTTTTTTGTAATGTTATAGGGTGTAAAAAACGATGTTCGTGCGCTCATTTTAAGTATGAAGTGCAAATGTGCTTCGGTCCACACTTTTACATGCCAATAAAATTGCCAAAAAGCAGCAGTCAATTTTTAACTTAATAGATATAAAAAAACGTACACAGGGGACTTAGTTTAGTTAACTAAGTCCCCTGTGTACGTTTTTTTTTATATCTTTTATGAATCCGTAACGTATAATCGACAAAAATACTTCATTCATTAATTGTTGATCGAAAACTTTGGCTGCTTATTAATAACATTAATGGTATCAGAGGGTCTGGATGGGATATTCCTAACTTCTGTATTCTTACCTGTTGTTGTTATTGTTATACAATTTCATGATATGTTTCTTTATCTTTAGAAATAACGCTTAATCTGTAAACCTAACATGAAAATGGTTTTACTATTGATTTTTTCAGCAATTATATGATTCTGTACATCGTTCACATTTCAATATTCAGTATTATATTACCTTATTCTTTCAATTCTCTCAGTTATCCTTTATACTTTTGCACCCCATATTTCTGTATTCTTTATGCTTTGGACTCATTTTTCTCTACTCTTCACTTAATTCTATTTTGTAAACTCCATCCAGACCATCATATCACTAAATATCCAAGTTTTATTTTTCACATTTTATATTTTTGTTATGAAATTCTTCTTTACCATGTGTACAAAAGATTGTCGTATGCATAAAATGAGCACAGGTAAGTCGTTTGCAATTCACAACTGATAAATTTAAAAGGTCTAAATTACATGCCTTGAGTATTATAATGTTTTATATATATATATATATATATATATATATTATATATAAACAAGTCTAAATTGAAAACAACGTTCAAACCTATGATTGCGTTGGATAAAAACCGCAATTTTTATACGTGTGCATGCAAAACAAATTTCTTGGTAGAGGGGTCTAAATACAGCACAAACAACATTTTCCAAAAGACCAAAAAAGTGAAAAAGTATATTTTAACAAAACGCATTTGACTAGCAGGTCGAACACCAGATGTTCTTAAACCCTGCTGACTGTCATGGCGATTGCCAAATAAACGGAACCCAGATGTAACAAAATTGATCTTAATTATTAATTTAATACCAAACAGAAAACAATAAACTTGCGGAAAAGATGGTATACCGCAAACATAAGGTGTATATATATATATTATATATAACTATGTATCTTCATTTATCGGTCATAGTTTAGAGGTAAATTATTAATAGGTGTGGTTAGTTTACCTGTATTTTCTGAAAATTAACGATAAACTGAAAATGAAAGAAAAAGTAGAATGTACATGACATGATTTAAAGATTTGACACACTTATTTGAAAATTTTAAAGGAAAAAAAAATGTGCTACATCTTTGTGAAGCATTTGTAGCCTACTTTCGACTTTCGTTTTCAGACGAGGCGAGCACGATACCACCGAGGCGGTAAAGAAATCTTTTGAAAATCTGATTATGTTATCATCTTGCCAAATTAATTGACATGACGTATGGTTTCACATTCTCTTTCCATTTTCAACGTCTTCATACTTATATCTTTAAATTTTTCAATTTTAATTTCTGGAATGCAAACTGAAAGCAATAAAAGCATAAAAATAGTAAAATAAATGAATTATCAGAAGATCAATAGAACCAAGAAATATCAACCGAGGTCATATGTTATAGGACTAGGAATTCACTGTTTCAGTAGACACTCTACGGGCGGGCAAAATCATTTGAAACTTGTGATACTATATTAAAGAAACAGTTGATAATGTATACGGATTTATGTCATTCAAAGGACAAAATTACGCGACAAATTCATTCAATTTGATATTTGCATTGAACAAATAAGAGTGTCTTACCTAGTATGAAATAATTAGAAAGAAGTAGATTGGCATTGCGCATGTCAGATGTTATTTAGCTATAAATAGACATGTTCACTAAAAAAAAGATATTTATGGAAAAAAACTAAATCAATAACTACACCTATATTTGATTATTTTAAAGCAAAAAAGAAATTATTTGTATGGAAATGGTATTAATATCTATTCACAACTACATTCGTACATTGGTACATATTATTCGTACAAATAATATGCACTTAACAGACGTTACGGAATTTAATTATTATAAGTGTGTTTTCCCTCTTATACACAACTATCTTATCTGTCGGATATCCTATTATAAATACATTCTACTTTTGTGGACGATTGACATAATTATGTAAACATAAGAATAAAGTTAGCATGGTTAGGTCGATCACTTCGTCAATCGATTAATCAAAACATATTCTGAGTATAACAACGTAATATGTACATGTCTTATAAACACATATTGATTGATTGATTGATGTTTAACACCACTTTCAACACTATTGTGCTATTTCGTGGCGGTCAGTTTTATTGGTGGATGAAGCCGGAGTGCCCGGAGAGAACCACCGACCTTCGGTAGGAAAACTGACAATCCTAGTCAATTAAGATTAAAGTCGAGTACACCTGCACCGTGCCGGATTCGAACTCACAACAAACAAACATATAAATTATCAAACAAATATCTATAGTTGAATAATAAACAATGAACAAAATAAGGCAGGGGGGAAGATCAAGTCCAATTAGATTTTAGAAAAAGGTCTTTTCATTCACATCAAAGGTTTTGTAATTCATTTGTAGCAAAATATTTTTGGGCAAAGCCTTGGATAAATAAAAAATCAACAAAGATACCAGCCCTATAATTTTGTACGCAAGACGCGCTTTTCTTCTCGATTTCTTCTACAAAAGACTCACCAGGGACATTTGATTTAAAAATAATAAAAGGCCAAATAAAGTACAAAGTTGAAGAGTATTGAGGATGTCAGCAGCTGCATTCTTGCATTAAATGCAAACGGTGTCTTTCTCTTTAGCAAATATGGGAGACATAATTTGATCTATTGATTAATAATTTTAACAAACTTATATTTATGGTGTCACTCTAATTGCCGTTATTTGATTGATTTTCTATTTCAATGTACCGAAAGGTAGCAATTTTACATGTTTGTAGACTATCTACTTTATAAAGTAATATTTTATCATGAAAATGATAACCCTACCTTTTTTTGTAACAAAATGCGTTCAGATGTCAAGGTCAAGGAGGGGCATTGCTTAGCACAGTTTGTACATGTAAAACCTGTTGATTATAGTTACTCACCTAGTTATATCAATAGAGATAATAGGAAAAAGACACTAGATAATAAGTTGAGATAATTATTGACTATTGATAACCTATAATAAACAAGCAAACACATCTCTTACATACAATTCAACCTAGTTTGTTTTGTACGTTTGTGCCTTTTTGCTCTCAATTTGGTGTTTGTTGTAGTATGATCTACTGTCCAATATTTTTGGTAGTTCTTGTTTTTTTACGTATTGGTTGATATTTTAACAAAACCTTATTTCTTCTGTTATAGTCAAAATATAGCTTTAGCAAATAATTACGAGTAACCTTTAATTTGTAAGTTTGTTTGAATTTTAAATTACATGCAGCTTAAATTCACTTGCAATTTTTTGCATACGTATGATTTATATAAATGTTTTGTCTTATTTAACTGGATTCATGTCGATAAAGTGAAAAAAGATTGCAAGTTTTCCTGTCGACATTCGGTGCTTCTCTTCGGGTACCCCGGCTTCTTCCACCAATGAGCCTCTTCATGGTTTTTTTGATTTTGTGATTACTTGGCCGTTTTTATAGTGATTATTTGATTACCAGACCAAATATTTCATGATTATTTGATTATGTGATAATCTAGGACTCTATTCTTTTTTTTTGGTCCATTTTTCTCTCTTCTTTATATTTTTTGGCCCATTTTCCTCTCTTCTTTATATTTTTTGCCCATTATTTTCTATCCTTTATATTTTTTGCCCATTTTTTTCTATTTTGTAAACCACCATCCAGACCCTGATACAAAATCTCTAAGCGCTTGAAAAAAAACGCGATCGAAACTGTTTTTGTTCCTTTAGTCACAGATAGACTTTCAGCACAGACTAAACTCTCACCCCTGCATTATTCGGAAAAATCTCAAAATGGTTCATTTCTGCTTGCAGAACATCGTGTCAATGTGGTTATTCTTTTTGTTACTAGCTTCAGAAAGTAGTTTTGGAGAATTTTTATTAATTATTTGTTTGCTTTACTTCCAGTAGCAAATATATCATGTATATGCAGAGTGATAACGATTAACATGCCGACTATAAATCTAGCAAGCAGGTTTTGCTAAGTGGGTCGTTAGTCAAGGGCAATGGGTATGATATTATGACTTCAACTAGATAATTGTTGTTGGCTGGATATTTGACTTGCAACAGACTTCACACAGACTGCCCAAGTCGAGCATATTCGAGAAACAACAAAATAATAAGTTGATGGAATATATATATATATATTTTTTTATCTCTAGACACTTTTTCACTATAAATTATTACGTTATTTCTTGTGATCATATTTTTCCTTTTGAAAACCTATTCAAGTTGATTTAGGTCATTCTTTGGTATCAAAATTCAGTATTTTATTCTTAAGAACTTCTCCGTATATTTCTTATTCTTGTACAATAAAGTTAATATATAATAAAAGGATTGATGAAGATGGTCTTGCTATTCTCTTGAAGGTCTTATTATTTCTTTTTTTTTTTCATTAAATCTTTAAACTCATAAGGTTGATTGTTCACCACATCCGAATGATCTCATTTTAAAATGTGACGATTTTAGGTTTAATTATATTCATGATAAAAGTAATCAATACAATAAGTACATAAGTCAAAGATTATTCAAGATAACTTTTTACACTTTAAATTGATTGCTTGTCATTATATTATTGTATATTGACACTCCATTCAACATGGCATGTTTTGCTCATTTAGTTCTGTTCTTTATTATGTTATTTTCGGTAAAATACACTTTACTCTACTTTTCTTGTAATCGAATGACAATTTTTGACAACAAAACTTTTTATGAAATTCGAATGTCGTTTGGCAATAATTATAGTCACCTTTTATACCAAATCGTTGATATCTTAATATTTTCTTCGGGTTGAGTCAATTGACATTTTCATATTTTCTTATACAGCAAAGGTCGAAACAGCTACATTTCATACTAACAATTAAAATTGA